CTGATGATCGCGGTGGTCTCATTAAACTGAAAGTCGCCTCAAGGGCTATGAGCTGGGCAGCCCTGTAACCGTATTTGAAAAAGGGCACTCTTTTTGGGGTTGGTCACTTTAGCAAAATAAAAGGGTAACAAGTACCACTGGGTTTAGGGTTTAGGGTTTAGGGTTTAGCCCTGTAACCATATTTGAAAAAAAGGGCACTCTTTTTGGGTTCGGTCACTTTAGAAAAAAGGTGACGGGTACCACTGGGCTGCCAAAAAACCGAGCCCCCCTTGCCACCCCAAACCTTAAACCCTCAAACCTTAAACCTTGAACCCTGAAGTTTGGGATGCTCCCCCTTACAGTCCTTAATAGGGATTTTAATAAAAGGGGGGGGGGGTTTGCTAGAATCCCTATTAAGGGACTGTTGGCAGAAGGGTGAACATGCCAACCTAAAGCCTGAACCCCAAGCCCTCAACCCTAAACCCTAAACCCTAAACCCTAAACCCTAAACCCTAATCCCACAAGACATGCCTGCAGCTTCCGTGACGTTGCCCTCTTCCACTCTGCACTCCCCGGTCTCCAGGCAGCTTAACATACTGTCCTTGTTGTTGGGTTTAGGGTTTAGGGTTTAGGGTTTAGGGTTTAGGGTTTAGGGTTTAGGGTTTAGGGTTTAGGGTTTAGGGTTTAGGGTTTAGGGTTTAGGGTTTAAGGGTTAGGGCCTTAGGCCTTAGGCCTTAGGGCTTAGGGCTTAGGGCTTAGGGCTTAGGGCTTAGGGCTTAGGGCTTAGGGCTTAGGGCTTAGGGCTTAGGGCTTAGGGCTTAGGGCTTAGGGTTAGGGCTTAGGGCTTAGGGCGGTTCAACATAAAAGAAGCCCAAAACCCCAAAAAAGAGGAGGCTTAAGAAGGGTAACGCTGGGCTACCAAGTTTCTGGCAAGGTTGCGTCACCGGTGAGGTTGCCTGCGGTGAGGTTGCCGGCACGGTGGCCTCGTGTGAGCTCCGCACTGTGCTGCAGGAATGCCTCGAGGCAGGCGTGGCCCGAACCCACTTGTGTACTCTTAGTTGTCCAGTACCTAGGGGTTTTAAAGGTTAACCTTTGGGACTATAAGGGGAATATATGAACCCAAAAAAGGTTAAAGGTTACCTACTCTACTACTAAGTACTTGCTAGCCCGGGAACCATCTGATAATAAGGGTGCCCCTTTTTTGGGGTAGTGTACCGTACAAGGGAACCCCCCATACAGCTACTACTTGCTGAAGAGCCCCAAAGAAATACAGGATACTCATCCCCACATTACCCTTACAAGGAAGAATGTTGATCTATTTTCTTTGGGGGAGGCGGGGGGGGTTTCTTAAGCAAACAGTAGCTACCCAAAGGCTCCAATGTAGTTCCTTTTTGGGCTAGTTATAGTGGATTCTAGTATACTAACTACCCCAAAAAAGGTACTACATAGGAGCCTTTGGGTACAAGCTACAGGGATGGCAACTCTTCAGGATGTAGTATAAATATCGAAACTCCACCAGCACCAAAGTCAGCAATGCATCCAAAAACCCAAAACAAGGTTCTGGGCCTGTAAACCCTAAACCCTAAACCCTAAACCCTAAACCCTAAACCCTAAACCCTAAACCCTAAACCCTAAACCCTAAACCCTAAACCCAAACCCCAAACCCAAACCCTAAACTCAAAACCCTAAACCCTAATTGCTATCTGGAGCCGGCCTCGTGGAAGCTATGGGAAAAGGGTCGGTTCGTCGCCTCTTTCATGAGCGTGACCGGCGGCCGCCGACGCTTCGGATCCGTCTCCTTCAACTCGTCACAGCCCTCCCGACCCGGACCATGACAAGAGCTCCTGGGTCAGGGTTTAGGGTTTAGGGTTTAGGGTTTAGGGTTTAGGGTTTAGGGTTTAGGGTTTAGGGTTTAGGGTTTAGGGTTTAGGGTTTAGGGTTTAGGGTCTACAGTATGTAGCTCCTTCAGGGGTTACCTACAGGGGATTGCTGTAACCCTACAGTAATGAACTCCAAAAAGTTGGAATACCCAAAAGGTATGCTAAAGGGAATCCCAACTCGAATCAACCTTAAACCATGTTCCAACATTCTGGAGTTTACTATCAACCCTAAGCAATACACAAAAAAAACCCTAAACCCCCCTAAACCCACTACTGTACCACCCTGCATCGGCGCTTTCACGCAGGGCCTCGGAACGAACAAGTTCTTAATGCTTGGGAAGGCCGGGAAAGGCTTAGTTTAGACTTTAGGGTTTAGGGTTTCGGGCAACAAAGCAACAGGAAAAGGGGTCACTTCTGCAGAACCGAGTGTCTTGCAAAGAGGAGAGCAGGGTAGGCAGACGAAGGAGGCTTCCTTGTGGTTCACGTGGATGAAGGTTGTATGCAGGTAGCCTACACCATCGCATGGGTCCTGTTTCTTCAAGCTGCTCACCACCAGAATGCCATCCTCACCTTACTACTGCGTAAGGTGCTTTGGGCGAGTGATTACACAAGTAGGGGACCCCCTCATATACCCCAAAGACAAGACCCCTTCTCCCTTCTCCCTAAACCCTAAACCCTGAAAGCCCGCAGAGAACAAAAAAAGGCTCCCAGAGGGAATTCACCCCTCTTGAAGCACAAGTCACCCGCGGCATCCTGGATCTTTGCCTCCATGCTCAACATTGCCTTGGGCTTACTGTTGGTCAGGGTTTAGGGTTTAGGGTTTAGGGTTTAGGGTTTAGGGTTTAGGGTTTAGGGTTTAGGGTTTAGGGTTTAGGGTTTCGGGTTTCGGGTTTCGGGTTTAGGGTTGGGGTTTAGGGTTTAGGGTTTAGGGTTTAGGCATTGCCTTAGGGGTCGCCACACAAACATAGGGGTAACCCGCACTTTTTGGAGCTTTGAGGAGCTGCATGGTGAAAAACGGGCAAAGCATGGCTCAAAAAAAAACCTCAAAATCAGGCAAAGGGTGTCGACGGACCTACGAAGCTAGGAGCCGCCTGTTTAAGAAAAAAACCAAGAAAAGGCAAAGGACGCCGACGGACCTACCATTAAGGGGTACTCCCCCTATATAACCCCTATATATATATATATGTGCATATACCTTTTATATATATATATACCTTATATAGTCCCTAATTATATACCTAGGTAGCCCCTAAACAACCCAGATAGAAACCCCACATAACCCCGAAGGTCCCTTGAATTCCCCCGTTTAGTCCCTTAATGCCAAGTTACGCGCTGCCTGGACTCCGCCGCCAAGCGCTGGGCCTCCTCAAGAGCCTCTCTTAGGGTAGTTACATGGTCCCGTACGTGGTATGGGCCCTTAAAAGGGTTTAGGGTTTAGGGTTTAGGTGATAAGGCCCTTAACAGGGTACCCCTTCTGTAACCTATACAAATTCAGGGCCCATACATCAGAACCCTTTAAAGGAGGCTAGGGACCATATGAAGGACCATGTAGCCCTAAACCCTAAACCCTAAACCCCTTACCCCCTAGAGCCTCAGCGCGGTATTGGTGGTAGGTCTTCTGCTCCTCCTCCGAGAGGCTCTCCAACATGGCTTCCTTGGTGGCCCCCCCAAGTGTCGGTGTCATAATAAGAGGGGTTTAGGGTTTAGGGTTTAGGGTTTAGAGTTTAGGGTTTGGGGTTTAGGTGTACCCTTCGTGGCTGTTGGTGCCCAAACAAGGGGGCACAAAAGGGCGCCCCACATCTTGCTACCAAGCTTCGATCCGCGAGTCGTGCACTCCCTCGTAAAGGTTCTCGGCATCGGCGAGGCCTTCGCCCTGGAGCTCGTGCTCGCTGTCCTCCAGTTCCTCCGTCTCCTTACTTCTCCAGGAGCCAAGGGAAAAAAGAGCTTAGACGTTGGCATTCCCACGACATGAGGAAACCCAAAAAGAAGTTTAAAGTCCAACTACTGGCTGAGTAAGTTACTAGATAAGAAAGGAAGCCCAAAAAGTTTAAAGTTCAACTATTGGTCGAGTAGGGTACAATAAGGAAACCCAAAAATAGTTTAAATGTTCAACTATTGGCTGAGCCAGTCTCTGCCTGCTGCTGGAGGGACCACTGCCCCTGGTGAAGCTTGCCTAGACCCAGGAGTAACCTAGGAATAAAAAGGCTTTAGGGTTTAGGGTAAGGGGGGTTATAAGGGAAACCCTACCCTAAAAAACGGAAAGAAGGGCCTACTCCGGGTCCCAGTTGCTGGCCGATGCGAGCTTCCAGAGGACCGCCAGCAGGAAACAGCTGTGGCTGAACTTCATTGGGCCGTGTATGAAAGGTACAGGGCCCTACGCTACTTGCTCCTTGAGCCTCGTGATGAGTAGGGTTTAGGGTTTCAGGGTTTGGGGTTTGGGGTTTAGGGTTTGGGGTTTCAGGGTTTAGGGTTTAAGGTTATCCCTAAACCCGAAAAGCTCAGCACTGATGCCGGGCTCAAGTAATAAAGGGCCTGGGGCGTAGCCGTTTGGGGATTTGGGTTAGTGTTCAGGGTTCAGGGTTCAGGGTTCAGGGTTTAGGGTTTAGGGTTTGGGGTTTAGGGTTTGGGGTTTGGGGTTTAGGGTTTGGGGTTTAGGGGTTATCAAGTTTCGAGTCCAACCATCTGAGCATCAATGTCCCGGCTTCGAAGCCATGTTCGGGGTTGTAGCAAAACCTCCTCACGCATGAGGCTAGGCTACACTTGGGTCCCAAGCGTAGCTGGAAAAAGAGGGTTTAGCTGGAAAAAGAGGTTTTAGGGTTTAGGTTTAGGGTTTAGGGTTTAGGGTTTTGGTTTAAAGGGGGGCTTCCAAGGGAACCTAAACCCTCAAAAAAGGGATAAAGGTCCTCCTGGTGAGGCTGTGATGACGTGAGAGCCGCTGTTGTTTCGGTTCGTGCTGTGGCCAGAACATGAGCGATCATGTCGGTAGTAGAGTTGAGTTGCCCTAGGCAAAGACAGGTCCCCATTCGCAAGCACAAGCCCAAACAAAAGGCCAGGGTACTTGGAAGTTCATGCTACTTATTAACCAAACCAAATATGACCTGCTTTTGACCCACATAAAAGCCCCTTAAGCCAGCCCTGCTCCTGACGGTGAAGGCGCCAGAAAGCAGCACGAAGTTGTCCTGCCAAGCCCCCCAGCCCTAAACCCCAGCCCTAAAACCCAAACCCTAAGCCCAATAAGCCCTAAACCCTGACAGGTTCGGAATGGGCGGCGTGGGCGGCCCTGGCCCACTTTAGAGGCGATGGGTCTTCGCGGTTGGGGCCGAGGTTTCCACATTTGGGTGGTTGTCAAAACTTAGGTCCCTTTTTGGATCCCTATTACAAATACGGCACCTAATATTTAGGGTACCCCAAAAGGTCTGAATTTATCTGAGCGATATGTCATGAAGCAAAATACGTCTACTTAAATTACGCATGTTTACTAGGAAATACTAAGCATAAAAAAGTCTGGGATCTCGGCTTCGCTGCTGACTCCGCCAGATGCCTCGCACAAAAAAAACCCATACAAAAAATCAACAGTGGCCTCCAGAGGCAGCAATCTGTTCCAGGAGAGCCTGCCTTAACTAAACAAAATCTGTGCAACACACCGAGTTACAGTGCCTCCTGGACAGAGTCAAGCTCTGGCTCCCGACGGCAATGAAAAACACATTAAGTAACAAAATTTAGGGTTTAGGGTTTTAGGGTTTAGGGTTTAGGGTTTAGGGTTTCCACCCATTTGGGTGCTCTCATTGCTTTCTTTGTTTTGGAGGGGACGGGGGGTGGGCGGGTTGGCCGGGGGAGGGATTTTGGGGTTCAGGGTGTAGGGTTTAGGGCTTGTTTTTTTCTGTGTTTTTGTTGGTGGAGGGGGGGATTCTAGGGTTTAGGGTTTAGTTTTGTTTTTTGTTTTGTTGGGGGGGGGGGGGGGGGGGGAGTTGGGTTTAATCAGGGTTTCGGGCTTGGGGGTAAATTCTTTTTACACCACATTTGGCGTTTAGGGTTCAGGGTTTCGGGTTTAGGGTGCTGCCCACAAAAATAGGGGACGTCCATATGTAGCAACACAAGAATCTTTTGCAGGTTGGCTCCGCAACAATTCCTACATGTGGGTCTAGGGTTTGGGGTTTGGGGTCTCTTATCTAAAATCCCAGAGGGACATGTGTGACATCCCAAGGGCCTATACCTATCATAGGGTTTTGGATATTAGGGTCGGGCTTTAAGGTTGGGATGTTCCCCCTTTATACGGACAGTCCTTACATAGGGCTTATAGTACCCCCTAGTCGAATCCCTGTTAAGGACTCTTAGTATAAATGGGGAACATCCCAAGATATTAGGGTGTAGGAGTTCGGGCTTGAGGTGTCAAGGGCTCAAGGGCCAAGGAGGTGTGAACTGAACCTTTGCTTTCGACGGTGGCCTGCTCGATTTGTGCGACACTTCTCTTGCGCCCATGACTCCGAAACCCTATAAACCCTAAAACCTGAAATCCTAGACCCCAGACCCTACACCCTAGACCCTAAACCCTATAATTCAGGCTTAGGGTTTCGGCTGCTTAGGCTGTTTATGGCTTCGTCTCGATGACCATTCCCTACGTTTCGCCCGAGCGCCTGGTAGCCTGTGCAGGGAATGCATTCCTTTCTGCATGTGGGTTTAGGGTTTAGGGTTTAAGCTTTAAGGTTTAGGGTTTAGGGTCTAGGGTACCTCCCTATAACTACTAGACGCTTATACGGGAACCTAAACCCTAAAAGAAGGAAGTAAGGCCAGGGCCTACGCCGGGTCCCAGACTACCCAGACTACCCCCAGGAGGCTCAAACAAGGGTTGCATGTGCCTTACTAGAAAAAGTCAACCTTGCGTAGAAAGTTCCCGGCAGGCCTCCAGAACCGCTGAGCCATCGTCAGACACCTGAGCGGCGCGGAGCACCAGAAGGTTGCTGGCTTCCCCGAAGGACCCTCATTAACCCAAAGTCCCAATACCCCCAAACCCTAAACCTCAGGAACCCAAACTCTAAACCTTAAACCTTACACCCTAAACCCTAAAACCTAAATCCTAAACCCTATACCCTAACCCTAAACCCTAAACCCTAAGCCCTAAACCCTAAGCCCTAAACCCTAAACCCTAAACCCTATTCTAATCATAGGGCCTCGGGGCACCCGCATGAGCTCACGCAGCGCCTATGTCAGCACGTCTGGGCTCCAGAGCTCTTCGCGCGCCAACTTTTAGGGTTTAGGGTTTAGGGTTAGGGTTTTTTGGGGGGATTTAGGGTTTAGGGGCTGGGATTGGGGGACTAGGATTTCGGTTTAGGGTGATCCCTTGTTCAAGGGTGGGACTCTAACTTAGATAACTGACCATTTGAAGAGGGGTCGTTGCGAATTTGCGATTTTGGGTATGCTGGAGTCAGCCGATCCACTCCCCCCTGAAAAGCCCTAAAGCACTGCCTTAGAAGGCTATACCCCAATAACTCAGACCCTGAGAGTACCTAGACCCCACACCTGGGTGTAGGGTTTAGGGTTTAGGGTTTAGGGTTCAGGGCCTTGGCCCCAGGAATCCCCTCAAACCCCTAAGAGCCCTAAACCCTAAACCCTAAACCCTCCACCCTAGACCCTACACCCTAAACCCTAACCCTAGACACCATGGATGCCTCCAGGGTCGTGCGATCTCGGGCCCGGAAGAACAAGCCCTGGAGTCCTTCGGCAGGACCCATGTCTCGGGCTTAGGGTTGAGGTTTAGGGTTTAGGGTTTAGGTTTTAGGGTGTAGGGTGTAGGGTGTAGGGTTTAGGGTTTAGGGTTTCAGTGTTTAGGGTTTAGGGTTCAGGTTTCGGGTGGGGGGCGGGGGGAGCGGGGGGGGGATAGTGGTTCAGAATTCCAGCAGCTGGCCTTGTAAACCCACTCAAAACATGTATTCCTAAGCACGATCCTCCGCCCAAGAAAACGATACTTAGGGCTTAGGCGTTACGGCTTAGGGTTGCGGATTTAGAGAGAAGACTCCTCGGGAAAGGCCTACGTAAGAGTTCGAGGGTTTGGAGTTTAGGGATTAGGGTTTGTGATAGGGTTACACCCTAAACCCTAAACCCTAAACCCTAAACCCTAACCGGAGTTCAAGGGTTTGGAGTTCAGGGATCGAAAAAAAATATCCTCAGTCGGTCCTCCCCGCGCAGCGAGCATGGCGCCGATCTCCTGTCCCGTGGCAGCTGGTGAGCTCTACACACCCTAAACCCTAAACTTGCTAAACCCAAACCCTAAGCCCTAAGCCCTAAACTTCCTAAACTTCCTAAACTTCCTAAACTTGCTAAACTTCCTAAAGCCTAAACCCTAAAACCCTGCACAACTCAAAGGTCTGAGAAAGCTTCTCCTCATGCTTGCGCATGAGCTGACATGAACCACTGAGGTCCGCGGGTGTAGGGATTTGTGCTAAGCTCATGCGTTTAGGGTTAGAGTTTAGGCTATAGGGCTGCTTTTGAAAATTATAGTCTGCTTGCAATGAGCGTCAGGTACATGAACATATTATGGTCAAATACCTTCATTGGCGCCTCTTGTTGGGGAAATCCCCCCGCGCGCCCCAAGCCCTCAACCTTAAACCCCAACCCACCCATTGAAATACTCACGTGTTTTGTGTTTGGGTTTTGGGGATACAACCCCGGTCGAGGTGTCCCAGGCTTAGGTAAGAAACACAATCCCCCCCCCCCCCTAAATTCGTTGAATGTGTAGGGACGCTTGGGAAACATCCGGTGCGAGAGGGGGAAGTGCGATGCTTTCACAGAACCCTGAACGCTGACCCCTATAAGCCCGAAACCCTGAGTACTACAACCTGCAAAACCTACAGCCCTAAACCCTAAAGCCCTGTAAGCCCTGAATTGAAGCTACTTACCACGTCATCCTCGGACTCGAGGGGCAACTTCTGGCATGAAGGGTATTCCAGCTCAGGGACTAGGAGGATAACGTAAGGCTTCACCACGAGTAGCCCTAAACCCTAAACCCTAAACCCTAAACCCTAAACCCTAAACCCTAAACCCTAAACCCTAAACCCTAAACCCTAAACTCCTCGTGCTTCGTGTAGGAGCGGTATTCATATGTCCACGAGGTTCCAAGGATGGCCAGAGGGTCGACGGGCTCCGTCGCCTTGAAAGCAGCAGCGAGCTGTTTGAGGTTTAGGGTTTAGGGTTTAGGGTTTAGGGTTTAGGGGTTAGGGTTTAGGGTTTAGGGTTTAGGGTTTAGGGTTTAGGGTTAGAATGTATGTGGGGGCTTGCGATTACAATAAGGACTGCAGGAAGGTATCCCGCACTTCGGAATCCCCCCTCTCATGAAGAACACCCTCAAACATGTGTTAGACAGAATCTTCCCTTTATTGCCCCTGTAAGGCAAAGTATGTGCTTTCTTTTTTGGGGGTTCTTCAGCAAATAGTAGTAAAGGTCCATCTTGGGAAAGGACTTGGCTTCCACAATGGCTTTCTTAGGGAAGCAGGGTGGGGGTCTATTTGAAATGGCTAGTTTGGGAACGGCAGCTTGATGAACTACCACGTGGTTTGGCCTCTGATGCGCAGTGGGGAGCCCTGCTATTAGCTGCGGTTTAGGGTTTAGGGTGTAGGTTTAGGGTTTCGGGTCTGAAAATAGGCAGCTCCAGGCCCGAAAGGTTTTGGTCAATCCAAATTAGCTCGACTTGCGCAGAAGAGTCCTGATTAAAAACTACTCTGAAAGCCAATGCAACCCAGCCAGACGTCAGGCATCTCGCGTGATGGCCCTAAACCCTAAACGCGCGTTCAGGACAAGCATGCCGCAGACGTGAGTGCGACACGGCGCCTCACGAAGTGTGCTAACTATCGGGCTCACGCGGCCATGGTGCAAGACCTGTTGAAGTTTCTTGTCTTCGGATGGCACCCCCCAAACCCGAAACCCTGAACCCCAAACCCAAAAACCCTAACCCTAAACCCTAAACCCTAAACCCTCACGTGGGATTTTGCCATGGCATCAGTGCCAGACCGACCACCAACGAACCCATAGATTGCACGGGTGCCCCGACACTCATTGGATCTGCGGTGCAGGGTTTAGGGTTTAGGGCTTAGGGCTTAGGGCTTAGGGTTTGGGGTTTAGGGTTTCGGGTTCAGGGTTTAGGGGCAGCACATGAATCCCAGGGTTTAGGGTTTAACGGTTTAGGGTGTTAAGGGGGTATACGCCTGACTCCACGTCTATGCATGCGCAACAACCGTGACTCCCATCGTATGAAGTTGCGGGGAGGTTTGTTCCCCATCTCGTGGCTGCGCCGCCCAAAGTGCTTGAGTTTAAGGTTCACGGTTTCCTGCTGTTGAAACGGCCAACACAAACAACGAAAGCCACCCCCAAAAGGAGCGTCATCTAGCGAGATGCTTGTATACGGCGAGAGGGGCCCTTTACTTACATCTGGGCCGCAGACTGGGCAAAAAGTCTGGAAAAAGCCCCTTAGTACTAGGAAGCCTTCCCTGTGTGAAAGGCGTTCTGCCCTAAACCCTAAGCCCTGCAGCCCGACCGTCCATCCATGGTTCGGACCACGGCCCAAAAACTTCAACCTGAAAGGCCTCAACATCCTAACCCTGAGCCCTTCACTCCAACTTAATATAGGGACCTTAAGAATTAGAATAGGGTTTTGGGGTATTGTAGTATAAATGTAAAGGGACCATAAGGGAATTTGGTAGTAATTATTCCGGCCCCCATATTTACTCCCTTTCAGCCTTCTCTCAAGGGAGTCATACTCAGACGTAGAGGATGTTAAAAGTACCCTTAGGGGTCCAAGGTATATATAACCCCATGACCTTCTCAGTTCTCAGCCCGCTTAGGGTAGTTACATGGTCCCTTGGGCCCTCAAAGGGGACCCCTTATATACCTTTTGCATACCCTATACAAATTAAGGGCCCATACATCAGAACCCTTTAAGGAGGTAAGGGACCATATTCAGGGCCCATGCAACTACCCCTAAACCTCAAACCCTGAACATCCTCATGAAAGGGGACCATGAAACTACCCTCAGAAGCTGAAAATACCCAGAACCCTAAGCACTCGGGCTCCTCTTTCATCATCCAGCCCATCAAAACACCTTAGAGACCCCAAACGCTAAAGGGTTTAGGGTTTCGGGTTTCGTTTGGCTTCTGCGTTGCCAAACATCCACAAACACAGGGCAGGAACAACTCCAGCGACGAAAGCCGGCGCTACCCAGAGCAGAATTTGAGGCTTCACTTCTTTGGAGGAACTGGTGGTCCGAAACCTACAGTAAGCCAGCAGGCTTAGGGCTTATGGGTTCTGGGTTTAGGGTTTATGGGTTTAGGGTTTAGGGCTTAGGGTTTAGGACTCCAAAACGGTCTCGAGGGTATAGGCTTTGGGTTGATTGGACCTACACCCCTAAATCATAAGCCCTAAGCCCCTCCGTAGCCACACACACACAAAAAAGCCCAAAACAGGAAACCGTAGCCCATGATTCATGATAGTCTACTGGCTTTCAAGGTAAAGCCTAAACCCGAAACCCGAAACCCTAAGCCCCAAACCCCAAACCCTGTAAACCCTAAACCCCAAACCCTGTGCTCTAAACCCTAAACCCTACGCCGCAAATTACCCTAAATCCCAAACCCTGCGCTCTAGCCGCCCCACCTGAAGAATGACGCGCTCCCAGGCAAGGCGCGAGGCGGTGTCACTGACCACTCCTGCCACTCTATGTTGGCCCTCTAAATAAAATTCCTGCCCAAACCCTAAACCCTAAACCCCAAACCCGAAACCCTAAACCTGAATATGTTTCTCTTGAACCCAGAAAGGGAAGAATATGTAATTTCCCAAAGGCCCGGTTTAAGCTGTCGGGTTTATAAGGTTTGTAAGGGTCCAAGGGGGTTTATAGGGTTCATGTAATTTGGAAGATTTGTAGGGGTTTGCAGGGTTTACAGGGGTTGACAGGGGTCTACAGGGCTTTAAGCTTTATAGGTTTGTTGGGGTTGGCAGGGTTTGCAGGTTGTTTTCTACAAGGAGGGGCCCTCCCCTAGTTATAAGTAGAGTTGTAAGTGCCCTAAATTTGGTTCTAAGGATCCTAAACTAGGTTGTAAGTCCCTAAACTGTAGCTAGCATAGTAAGGGGCCCCTACTCGTAGGGTTGATAGGGGGACTTTATGGTCTTGAGGTTTCTAGGGCTCATCCCGGCAGCCTCTTTGGGATTTGTAGGGTTTGCAGGCTTTATGTAACCCTAAACCCTGAACCCTGAACCCGAAACCCGAAACCCTAAACCCTAAACCCTAAATCCTAAGGCGGGAGTTGCAGGCCATACACGACCGCATATAAGGCCCAGCTACCCTTCCATCTGACTAGCAGGCCCAATTGTGCGAACGTGGCGGCATCATCATCCGGACGCGGGGGCCTTTCACGAAGTCCATCACGCCAGCTAGGTGCCGAGGTTTAGGGTTCAGGGTTAGGGTTTAGGGTTTAGGGTTTAGGGTTTAGGGTTTAGGGTTTAGGGTTTAGGGTTTAGGGTTTAGGGTTTAGGGTTTAGGGTTTAGGGTTTAGGGGAGACGAAGTTTCGTATAGTGAATTCTGGGTTGATGGGGTTTGTGGTTTTTTGGGGTTTATAGGGGCTGATCGGGGCTTGCGGGGGTTGATGTGGGTTTAAAGGGTTTTGGGGGGGTTATTTGGGGTTGATAAATTTACAGGGTTGATAGGGGCTTAAAGGGTTTTTAGGGTCTCTAGGGTCTCAACCCTAAACCCTAAACCCTAAACCCTAAACTCAACTACATGTAGAGACTTCAGGTAGCCTAAGCAGAGCCTGAACTTAAACCAATTCCTAAACCCCCAAAGCCCCTGCACCACTTGGAGGTTTAGGGTTTAGGGCTTAGGGTTTAGGGTTTAGGGGTACATACTAACCAATTATACTGTACTGATAACTGTACTTATAGCCATATTACGGCACTTAAGGGGCTTCCATGTGGGTGATAAGTACAGTTCTAATTGGTTAGTAAGTACCATGAAACTCCAAGTAAACCTTAAACCCCAAAGCCTAACCTGTATAGACCCTGTTCTAAGTCGCCTCCACAGCTCTGAGGGTTTTGGGGTCCTTCAGGTTAGTAGCCCAGTGTTAATAAGTACCATGAATACCCTAAACCCTAAACCCTAAACCCTAAACCCTAAACCCTAAACCTAAACCCTAAACCCTAAACCCACACTCCCA